CCCCATTATCACTCGTAGCTTTCATTCTGAGTTCCCTAGTATGAAGTGCTGCCTTCACTTCTTCTAAGGTTATAGAATCCTTACCAACAACAAAAGACTCTACAAAATTCTCAAAGCTAGACGGTAGAGATACAAGTAAAATCAACGCAGCATCCTCATCATCAATTTTAACATCTAAATTACGTAAATCAAGCAAAATAGAGTTAAGTTTTTCTAGATGTTCCCGTAAGGAAGTACCTGACTGCATCCGGAGGCTAAACAACCGCTGTTTCAGTAATAATTTGTTGGTCAACGACTTAGTCATATACAATGACTCCAGCTTCAGCCACAATCCAGCCGCCGTTTCCTGATCAGCAACCTCCGTGATGATTTGATCATCAAGACTAAGTAATATGGTAGAGTGTGCCTTCTCTTCCATAACTTCTAACTGCGAGTCAGTCGGTCCGTCTCCTGACTCCGAAGTAGTACTCTTTGGAGCCAACGGACGCCATATCTGCTGTTGTTTTAACAGAGCCTTCATCTTAATTTGCCATAGCCCGAAACTATTTTTTCCCGGTAAACTTCTCAATTCTTATTGTTGAATCTCCTGCCATTGTTATCTTCAAGAAACTCTCCAAGGATTGAACCTGAGCTCTTGATACCAATTGTTGTGCGACAGCGGAAGCAAAGGTCGTAAACAAACAAGAAAACAATAAAGAAATTCAATGCAAACAATAAGAACAACACCAAGAATTTACGTGGTTCACTATCGATGTGATAGCTACGTCCACGGGCACCGAGATCGAATGATTTCACTATAAACTGCAAAGATTACAAAGATGATTCTTGTATTTCTCAAGAACGGCTCTCACTCTGTCTCTCTTCACCCTAATACTGATATTAGGGAGGTTTTATATTAATCCCTAATTAAAAGATACTTGGGCAAAAAGATAATAAAATAAGATAACCTAAAACCGCAAAATCCGCGTTCCGTATTTTTCCTTCTCCGCCCGGTCAGACCGGGCAAGGTCTGCCCGATCGGGCGCGAGAAGAAAACTCCATACGAATGCTTCAACGTATCCAACCCCCACCGCCCGGTCAGACCGGGCAAGGTCTGCCTGATCGGGCGAAGGCTCGCCCGGTCGGGCGAAGGCTCGCCCGGTCGGGCGCGAGAGCAGCTTCTTCAACGAATTTGCCAGGCACCTCTTCTTCTTCCGCCCGGTCAGACCGGGCAATGTCCGCCCGATCGGGCGGACAAAGCTACGAAGTACGAGTCACCTAATATACTTATCAACAAAATCTCATCTAAATCATTGTCTATGTTGCTCTCTCTACATTAAAAATAACAGTATACAAGTTACAACTTTAAATTTCCATTCAGTCAACTTTTGAATGGAACATTGTTACACCACTGCTCTTTGAGATACTCCATCAAAAGAGAATACAGATTTAACCTCACAAACTTTCATAGATAACTTAAATTGACAATATTTGATACAAATTTCATTTGCAATCCATTTAAGAGTGATATTAAACCAACACATCCTCGACTACTTGAGATACAAGGTAAAATTGTAGGGCATTCAAGACGATGATTTCTTCAACAAATGCCTGACATGGCCAAGTTAAAAAGATCAGGCCTGTTACCAAGAATTGTATAGATAGCGAAGGGAGCCCGATGCCACCCAAAACATGAGGACAGATCCCCCAAGCCTTCCGAATTGGTCAGTCCAAAGCCCAGCCATATCATCCCACCGCCAATGACCTGAGCCTGCACCAACTGCATCCCAAAATTTCAAACACTCAAGTTGAAATCTTCATGCAGTGTAAAATCAATGAGAATAAGAAAACAAGCCTAGACATCATATTCCAGTTTGTGTTGTTATAACGATTACAACATCTGGTACTAATGGCATGAGTCTGATGGCATCAACAAATCCAATCCTTCTCTTCAACATAGGCCGCTTTGGTGAATTGCAGATGCAATATGATATATGATAAGAGCATAAAACTCCTCCTTTTCTTCTTCCTTGGACATTTCATGGCAGGCAGCATAAAAGCTATCTGATCCTTGTGGATCTCCATGAAAACCTACTACTCTGTAGATTAATTACCAAGAAAAATAAAGAGAGAGGAGGGTAACAAATAGAATTTGAGAAAGAGTTGTGAGATAAAAAAATGAGAGCAAGTAAACCATTTATATAGAAAACTTTGACTAGGTTGATGGACTAGGGTTTAGAATACAAGGATAGGATCACCCCATCTTTTGAGATGGATTTTTTATTACAAGGATAGAATCACCAGCTCATTTTGAGATGGATGTTTTTTTAACAAGCATAGAATAACCCACGTCACTTTGAGATGGATTTATTAAAAAAAAAATAAAAAAAAAATCAAGATGGAGAAAAACAATATATTTTACCCTTTGATAATACAGTAATAAAAATGTACTAATAAAGTAACAAATGTAAATGAGAGAATTGATTTGTTACCATTTATTACATATTTGCTTTAAAACTTTGAGCTGTGAACAATGATATTACCTACCTTAAAAGTATGATTCAATGAATTTGAAACTTTATTCACACTAAGAAAACTGAGAGCAACTCGTCTTCAGAAAGTAATTACGCAAAAAGCATCCTTAAGCTTAAGTATGCTACCCTAAAAAGGCCTTATTACTTGATTGTGATTTTGATGGGCACATGTATTTTGATTAACAGAAGAAACTAAGTAGTGTTTGGTCAGCAATTTATAGGTCTCAGAAAGAAAATTAGGAATTTCAGTATTCGATGACATGAGTTCACTATGTGCGTGCTGGTGCTACGACATCCAGACGTCTAAGGAAGACTCGAAGAATAAGGAATTAAGAACTCAACACAAAACACACTCTCAACCTGAAGCTTCATGATGGGAAACTTTGTAATGTTCTTATTAAAGCCATACACACGTACACGTGTAATTATTCCAAACATTATCCTAGATCATGAAATTAGAGATTTCCGTATTTGAAGACATGAGTTAACTATGTGCCGGTGCTATGACATCAAAATGGATAAGGAAGACTTAAAACACTCTAAAGTCTAAACTGGAACCTCCGCTTCATCAGGCGAAGCTATGTCATGATTTTATCATAACTCATAAGGCATACACGAGTAATCAATTCTAGATGGTGACCCTAGATAGTGAGACCTCAATCCTAGTAAGCATATCAGGCTCAAGCTATAACCAATACCCATCAGTAAGCTACTTCCACATTAAGGCAACAAGCTAAACCTAATCAAGCCAACGTTTGAGCTCACAATTGTCATTTCCTTTTCTTAAAAAAAAATTGATATATTGAAAATGCAATTCCAAGACTTTAATTGACAAATATGTCAAACAAGAAAATTTAGGCTTCTCGTTTTTTACAACGATGGACACAAAACTACTAAACTAGAATTGGACACAGTAGCTAAAAAATAAATGAGATCGGGAGATAAGATACCTTATTATCCTCTCTTAAAAATAAATTTCAAAAAGGATACCCTACTATCCTCTATCTTCCTTTCTCACACTTTCATCATAGGTGTTCACAAGATGGAGAACAATAAAATAAAATAACAAAACATAAAAAGTACGGCTGTTATCTAAGCAAGAATAAATAAAAGAAAAGTGCAGGAAACAATTTAAGATCACTTGCTTTCAAGATATGTTCACAGTGAGGAAGAGATAGTACCAAATGTATCTGTACCAAGTAAAGATGAACACTGAACCTTAAGCGCCATGCAGAGACATAATGATGTACTCAGATTGAAGAGCTTGGACTACATGGCATGATGTTGAATGGTTGAAGTACAAATGAACATCAGCTTGCCCCCACATTTTTTACTGAAAACATAGCAAAACATCTCAACTCTTCCTATGCATGATAAACAGCATCAGCAGACAAAAGACAAAACTGTAAATTCAACTCTAAAGAAAGATCTCAATACTGATCATATGGTGACGTAACTGCCGAACCCATCAGTTAGCAACTCAACACTATGGCAGGATTAAACTTATCACAAGCAACATTTAGCAATTGCCATTACCACTTTCTTTTATCCAAATAATTGAACTTATAAACAAGAACAAAAGGTAAAAGACTTCAAAAGGATGGGTATAAGACTTCTACAGAATATGATAGTAACTTTATGACAAATAATATAGATGATAATACTTTGACTTCTGGTCTAGTGATATGACAACAAACATGAAACTGCCATCAGATAACAGCAGCTGTAACCTATAAGTAAATGAGATATCTTAATTCCCTTTTTTCCTTCCATTTTTTCTATTCATTCTTCTCTATAGGGTCATAATGAAGGTAGATTTGTTATCAAAATATCTTCTTAAAAAAAATAAACAAGAGAAATTAAATGTAAGATAGCCTAGTGTTGTTATACAGGGCAACACGTGGTTGAGTCCAGCGATTTCAATTCACAAACTCCTTTCTGAATCAAGTGTAGCAGTAGTACCATGCCAAATAGTAGACTCTTCGAAAGATATCCTTTCTCACCTTAAGGTGGCCAAATTATAAAAGATATCTGAGCAATACTGTAGTACTGTACTCCCCATTTGTTGCACCAAATAGATGAACACTGAACCTAAACTCCATCTAGTAACATAATCATGTGCTCAATTTAACAGAGATCCACCCCATCACCACTTCTGCAATGATAAAGAGCTTCTACAACAGTCATGGTTTCATGCTAAACAAGTATAAAGAAAATTTTGTCATCGAGCTAGATAACTGATAGCCACTTATACTACTAGATTAAGTAATAAATAATGTAATTATAAATAAATAAATAAATTAATTAATTAAAAAAAATCCTGCACAGTGAGGTGAAGATATGGGGATAATAACTTGAACGCTATGCCTTCAATATATTTCTTCCATGGGCACTGTTACACCATCAAGTCCATAAGCAACCAGAAGATTATATTGCCTAGTTAAAGCTGAAACCCTCATTTAACAAGAGGATGTAAAGAAACGAACAAGAAAGTAGAATAAGGACAGAACTATAATTTTCAACTCTCAAAGCATTCAAAACTGGTACTGGTAGCAACTGGGCTCAAACTATTCCAAATTTCCATCAGTAAGCTATTTCCGCATTAAGGTAAAAAAATTATAGAACCTAATCCAAGCAACTTTACTACTTTAGAACTAACCAATGTCATTACCTTTTCTTCATCAAATTGATATTTGAACAAGCAATAGTGAATATCAAAGACTTCAATACTTGATATCAAGATTTGTAGACAAGAAAATTTATTTCCTTCTTTTTTTACGACAACGAACATGAAATAAACAAGTTCTAGAATTGTTTTCGGTAGCCAAAAATAAATGAGATCAGGAAGTAATAACATCAATTAGATACCATATCTCCCTCTATCTTCACTTCTCAGTCTATTCATAGATTTTTTTTTCATGTATTTGCGAGATAGGAAAAAAACAGAGAGAGAAAAGGTATAAATATTACCTGGACATTTGAGGAAACGTTCATATGTGAAGTGAGGAAGAGACAGTGTTAATTGAATTAAACTTTGCAAGATCATTTCTCATCCAAGTGTATTTGTACCATGTCAAGATGAGCATTGAACCTAAATCCCATTCCATGACATAATAATGTGCTCAGAATTGAATAGCTTGGACATGCCATGACGTTGAAATGCACTTGAACATCTGCTTTCCCCCACGCATTAAAATGAAAGAATAGAAAACATATCAACTCCTACACATGATAAACAGCATCTGCAGGCAGTCATGATAAATAGAATTGCATAAAATTAGTCGCCCAAATAGGCAATTCAAACTATCTTATTATTGAGTGATTAATTGAGTAAGTTAAAACATACTAGCATGCACTTTGAGTGAAGATATCACTTGTCAGCATGTACATTTAGATAAATCATAATCATGAAAACAAAGAAGTGAATGCAAATAGGAGAATCACCTAAAAGATAACCTCTTCCTTGGATAGAAAGCTAACAAATTTTGTAGTAGGCTACTCTAAAGTAGTAACTATGAAGTAGAGACACTCTAAACTACTTTAAACAGATTCAAGGATGACTTCTTCCACATCGACAATAAAATAAAGTATAATAATGATCATGATACACATTAGAAACCACTAGAGTTGCAGGGAAACATTTAAATGAGATGGAATGTAACCTATGCAACAATGAACAAATTTATACAAAAGTTAATAATTTGAAACTTTATGGCAGCTATACTTATACCCAATGTTACTTGGACTCTACCAACAAAGTGTTGGCTCACTAACTCAAATTCTGCTGTTCAAATCCTACTAAGGAGGGTACTTGGGGTAGGGATTCCCTTACCCTCCCCTCTACTCCCAAGCCTGCAAATACTAGACCAAAAAAATCGTGAGGGTTGGACAGGGTCCTCCTTACCATTTAAAAAAGAAATGTTACTTGGACTCTTCATTTCAACTCAAGTATCTTTGTTAGATTTTCAACACTCCGGCAAGGGTATGGACATTTGAACACTTTATTTTGTGACTCCGGCAAGGGTATGGACATTTGAACACTTTAGTTTGGGCTAAAATCATATATAGACACTTGTCATACCCTAGTTAAGGACTTGGGGTAACAGAAGCTATACCTTCATAACCAAGGTGCTCATAATTTAGAATGTTACCAGAAAAATACAGGACTTACCATCAAGTCATGGAGCCAGAGTACACCAAATCAATTGTCTTGCTATGCTCTGAGAATGCATGTTAGCCAACCCAAAATCATTTGGGACTAAGGCTTCCTTATTGTAGTTGTGGTGGTTGTTGTTGTTGTGGTTGTTGTTGTTGTTGTTGTTGTTGGAGTAGGGTACGCCATCAAGTCCACAAATGATAGTCATTAAATATCCTAGGTAAGCTGAAACCTCTAAAAGTCAAATGTGTATAGGTTTGAATAAACATAAAATCGGACAAAAGAAGGCAGAACTTTTAACCCTCAAGCCATCATGAGAGACCTCAATATTAATAATTCAGTGACATTGTGGGTTGAATGTGTTTTAAATTTCCATCATTTAGCTACTCTGTCAGCATAGCAAGAAATAAAACCTTAACCGAGAAATATTACGATTGAAGAATAGGCCCTCATTGAAGCTAGCAGCTAGGTATATTCCTCACTTTAAGCTGTTCAATAAGGATGGCCACATAATTCAGAACATATCTAAGAAGAATTTACCATCTGTTGCTCCAAAAAGATGAACTCTGAGCCTATACCCATCCATTAACATAATAATGTGCTCAAATTAAAGGGAGACCGCCTATCAGGCCTAGAACTCATTACCAATAAAATAAATCTCCTTAATGCCGCTAAACTTTAAGCTAGAGTGACTAACCTGGGCTACAAATTGACAATGAACATGTACAACAAACAAATAGCCCCCACATTTCTGATTGAAAATATATCAAGCACCAGAACAACTTCAGCTATGCATGATGCCAATAAATTAATACTCCTCGGAAAATTTAGTCACCTGAATAGCCACATTATCCTTCTAGATTTAATATTTAATAACATGCACTTTTCGATGAAACATTATTATCAACATACTGTAATGCAAGAAAATAGGAGAATCGTATACACTCTAATATGGAACAAAATGACATAAATGAACTTAATAATAAAAAAGATACATCCACGGACTAATATAACATTTTTAAATATAAATGCAGCCATACCAGACTACCAGAGGATAAATCAATGCCACAGAATACAAAGCTCTGATTTCTTTACGTCTAACATCCACTCAAACAAGTCTGACATCATGTAGAGACTTTAGTACAGTTGTTTTTAACTCCAGAATCCTCCATACAATCTAAACAGAACATTTATGTTAAGCAAAAATAGTATTCCGTAAATTATACAATCAATTGTTAGAACAAAACCAATTGTCCAAATCAATGCAAAATTTAACTCACAAGATAGTTAATACATCATTTTTAAAATAGGAAGAGTATACACACACCGGTAATAACGAACAAAATCAACAGTAAGAAGAATGATGTCAACACAAAATTTAATTCATTGCCCTCAAAATGTAGCAATACTAAGCTATACTAAGCAATCAAGTTTTGACCGAACCCACTTGACAATGATACAGAGAAGATGATCCAACATAACATTCAAATTATAGCCCATCAGACAACCATAAACAACTTAGAACACAAAACAACATTCATAGCTCCCAGCTACTCCACATAACAGTTGAAGTTGTAAACAAATAGTCAGATAGAAGGTGACTTTGCTCAAATTCTTTCACCGAGATCTCTACAAAAAGGCAAATATACAGTCAAGAGCCCAGGCGCCCAGCCCTTATTTGGGGGGTGTCTCTCTTTGTTTGCCATCAATTGTCAGCAAGCCTTTTACACTATTATTTAACATTAAGTACAGACTATACAGTAGATTAACAAGCTGCACAAAGTAAAAATAATAATTTCAGCATAATACTTAGATTTACTACACAAGGAAATCATCAAACAAGCTACACAGTGCTGTAAATCTTATGCTGTTCGTATGTTGAAAGCCGCCACTAAGTAAGGCTTTCCCTTGCCGATATATAGATATTCTAAAAAAATCCATAGCAGATATGAGCAGGATGAACAACAAGATTGTGTATAGAATTGTTTAGTAAGAATGTAATGGAACCATGATATATTAGCAACAAGTCCATGATTTATCAGGAACTCAATTGAAGAATTGTTACAATTTATCATTTTCCTAGTATCTTAGCTATGAAAATGGCTAATTTAAAAACCAAATATAAAAAAAAAAGGAAAAAAAATTTTACAATGGCATACAATAATGAAAATAATTGCATTCAATGCAAGTAAATAAACCAGAGCCAGAATATAAAATTCATAATCATTCATAGACATCGGATCTTATACAGTATCTTGCCCTCCTTCAGTGACGATTTTTCTTCATAGGGATTTCTGCAGCTCAAAAATGCTTTAGTTGCTGAAGGATTTAAGGCCTAATTTAAAAAAGGAGCCTCACTTTCCACAAGTCCACTTTCACTTGAAAATCTAGCAATCAGTCTAAGCGACAAATAAAAAACTAAGTGTGCACATGAATTAAGCAAACATGCATAATGTAACTTTAATACCTTATTCAGTACAAGGAAAGCTATGATGGGGTGAAAGGCACATGTCAGCACATTATTATATTAAATGGATTATTAAATCTTTCCAGAACTGATAGATCGAACCAAAATTACAATTACCATAAAAGATGCACCGTGCCTATTCATTTAATGAATGATGCAAAGGAAGACCTTCATTATAAAAGCTGGAAAGCTATGTACCTTGTATTGGCCAACCAAGTTATACTAACATGTAACATGGAAGGGCTTTTCTCACAATTCCTTAGAGCTTAGTGCTGAATATACATGGCTCACAACACTTACCCACGACTCACATCATCTTTGCGTCAGTGATCAATTCACTCTCTTTGTCTCCTTGAAACAAAAACCTAACAATCTAACAGATGTACGCGTAATTGAATGCAATGGTTTTAAAATCCTTATGTATTAAATCTTATAATTCTTTATAATGACAGGATATAACAAATCTCAACTAATTTCATTCAGGTCTACTTAAACCCCAACCTAAAAATAACACCTTTTTATAACAAATTTCAATCCATTGCATTTCCTTACTCGATTTTCATTTCTTATCAGATTTTTATTCACAAAAGGCTATAATTAATTGCTACCCATTAACACATTCGAGACACTTAAACCCAAAAAAATTCCACAATTTCTATTATACAAACGCGTGTACGTAGCTCACACCCAATACTTTTTTTTTTTCTCATTTAGATAGCTCCAATCAAGCAAATCAGACAAATGGGTAGCTACAATTCTACAAATAAGCCAGAAAAAACCGCCTCAAGTGTACCATCTACATTAAACGATAAACCCACCAACAAAAACCCAATTAATACTACCATAAAACCCGATTAAAACCCAATTTTCAAAAAATAATCATTCCTTAAAATTTGATAAAAATTAATCATCAAACTTTGAAGAAAAAAAAAAATTGAAGGAATTCCAAAAAAAAATTAAAGACAAAGAGAGAATTATTGGGATCACTGCACGCAAAAATGATATTAGTCAACTGGGTAAGACTTTGTGAAGCCACCAACACCTAATTTCATCTCTCTCTCATGAATTTCTTGCATTTGAGTGATTTTGAGTGTCCCAAACAACAAGAAGAGATTCATATAAATAGCCCTTGAAATTAAACTACAAAATCAGAACTGATATCAAATCAATTGAATCTTGAATGATATCAAATCAAAACATACCTAAGAAGTTTGATTTGCAGAATACTAAAGATTGTTGACCTTGAACTTTGCTGGAAAAATCAGAGGGGATTTGATTGGCTTTGATTTGTGCTTGATTTTTATTGAGTAGTGGATTTCTTAGTTGGGATGGTTGTTGGGCTAGTAGATTAGAATCACAATGCCGAATATTAAATGTGAACAACCGCTATTGGGATGACATCAGATCTATTATAATTTTACTTATTTTTTTTTTTTTTACATAATGGAAATTATGGTTTATGAAGTAAGGGTGTGTTCTTTTAAGATTATTTTCACTTGAGTTCAGCTCAATTCAATCAATCAGAATAGACCCTAATGATTTAATACGGAACACATTTTCAAATCTTAGTGACCACACGATGTCGCCTGTGTAACTTAGTTATGGTTGTGTGGTCAGAGCTATTTGTTCGGTCAAGGATACTCTGTCGGTGCTTTGGTGTGTGTCAACTTACCGTATAATGTGGCTAGCCACACCAAAAAAAGAAAAATGTTACCGCTTTTAATTTTACTAGGGCAGCCAACGCGGAATGGCTAGCCTTTGCAACTTAATTTTACTTGTCTTGTGTTTGCACTTCACATGGAGGAATAAAAGACCGGCAAAGGAATATACTACCTTTGGTTCAATTTACTCGCAACAAAATAATATTTTATGTCTCACAAATAATACCCCTTTGTTGCGAGTACATTGAACCGGAGGTAGTATTTCTATTGCTCAGACATTGTTTGTTTGTAATCGTGTTGAGTTGAATGTTATGTGTGAAATATCTCGTATATTGAAAAAAATCTTTATTTTACTATTTGTATATGGTGATTCTGTTAATTGAAATACTATGTAGAGTCACTGTAGAATATAATTCTTAGGTTTTTCAATGATAATGCAGAAAAGGAACAAATGTTAGAATTGTTGTTTGTTTATTTTCGCAATGTTGATATTAGTATTACTTAATTGTGGTGGTACAATACGAAATAGAGAAAGAATCATCAATGATGAAACCGAAACGACCAATTCCTAATCCACCACAGAGGCTAACAATATTAAACAACTGCTATATATTGGTATTGCCATTTATTTTATTTTTTTTTGCCATAATTTGATTTGGGAATTTTTGGGAAGGTGGTGAACAAAGATGTGGAATTTAGTACTTGGAAATGGCAATGATAGTGTGGAGCGAAGAAGTTAAAAGCTTTAAAGAGATGGAGCCATGGAGAGGAGGAGAGAAAGCTCAAATGTGTAAGGAAATATAGACGGGTAAGAACAATTTGAAATTGGACTGTTTGGAGTACAAAATTACAAATAAGGGTACAAAGGTAAAATACATTTTGAAGGGTAAATAGGGGTACAAAGGTAAAATAACATTTTGAAGGGTATAAAAGTCCGTGCACTATTTATAAGAACAACTTTCTACTTTTTATAAGGTAGGGATAGATTATAATTTTATGTTGTAGTTAAGACTTATCTTTTTTGTTATCAATATCTTTAATCTTAATCTATCTATCTATAGTATATATATTAAAAGGCGTTCCTAAATAAGCATAAGACACGTGGGACTCTCCTCAATTAATCGAGTCTTTTCATTCACGTGATTAAAAATATGGATTGTACAAGGTATGAATCACCCACAACCTTATGTTTAAAAATTAAAGTGTTAGCAACTAAGCTATGATCATATTGCATGTCATAATAAGGATTTCAAACATGGAATTATAACGATAACTCGGGGTATCATCCAAGTTTAAAAAACTAGATTTATTTATTTATTATTATTATTTTTAACATTGTAAGGTCAACCAGGCCCAGGCCCCGATCAAAGGCTCGAGTCACAAGATTGAAACCTAGTTGGCAATGCCATAGAGGGGTATGGGTGAGATTTGTTTGCTGATGAGGATCGAACCTCGTATCTTGAGGGATGTGAGACGACCTCCCCTAGGTCATTACACCAAGAGGTCTCCCTCCCTCATTAAAAATTTATAATTGAAAGTAATCTTACGATTTATATATGATACTATAAAACTACACATTTATATTATATTATTAAAACTCAAAGGGACAACATACTGTTGGAAAAATGATGTTGTAACCATGAAAATAATTAAGGAATTAGGGCAAAAAATAGAATACTCAATTATAGATCTCATATAAAAATAGATGTGATGTGTTTTATTGCTGCCCTAGAAGCGTATTTCACCGCCACTGGTATGAGGCTCTGAGTGACGATTGCTTCCCAAGGGTAACACATCTAACCTTCCAATTCCATACCCCGATTGGAAGGTTGGAATTACTTCAAGAACTCTTTAGGTCTCTTTGGAAATGACTTTGTGTTTAGGGTTTCACAATACTCTGTGTATTTTTTGTCTCCCATGTATAAATTATAGCTTAAGGGTATTTAGAATTTATGAAAAAAAAAATCAAAAATACGGACGTGCACTTATACAATGTAATTTTATGTTGTAGTTAAAACTTATTTATTATTAGTTCAAAAATCAGAGGTGTTACACTAGTTTTCACTGACAAATTTTTACACACAAATATCAAGCTATAGTTGGACGGATGAGCACTTTAAAACTCAACTAGGCTTTGGAATTTCTAGTTTTGTATTATCTTCGCTCTTTTATATTCTATTCATTTCATTTATTTAATTTATTTCATATAATTTTTATAAGTATTGATATGTCCATTTTATATACTATTTTTACCCCTGTCCCTTGGTCATATTTGGTAGTGTTTTTGGCTCTTTAGAGCTACTTTTATTACTAATTTGTGTTTTCTAGAATTTTCGTAGTTTTGGTTGAGTTTTTATAGGGAATTGTACTTTTGGAGCATTTTTTCCGGAATTTATTAGAGCAACTATGATCATTGGAGGGGCACGACCATCTTTCATAGCCCAAGGCTGGTTAGAGTCATCAAACCGGTGATCAAAAGGCTCGACATATGTGATACCGGGGCATTTGGATCAAGTGTTCAAGACCCGAAGAGGAAATCCGGATTGGGCCGAAGAATCGGAGACCGATCGAGAAGTCCAAGATAGGCCCAAGGTCATCGCCCGGTGCAAAGGGACTCCGCCCGAAGGCGCGCTCCGGCCGAGCGGGGTGGAATATATTGCAGAAATCTTCGCCCGATCTCGTGCCCGGCCGGGCGCGAGTGATGCACCTGATGGAAAAAAGGCGGGCCGATCGGGCGCGTGTTTTGGAGAGCTTGTTTTACAGCAATTTTTACTTAGTATCTAATTAGGATTTTTATGAGCTTAGTATAAAATACATTTTAAGTCGTTTTGATACGACTATTCTTTTCTCTTAGACTTTCTCTCTCCACTTAGTTTTTATTTTCTCTCTCTATAACTCTATACTTTGTTCTTGATTCAACTCATTATTTACGTTAATTTGGTAACGATTTCTTCTTTATTAATTTCAACAATTGTGTTTCTTTTATTCATCATGTTTTCTTTTGCTATGTTTAGTTTAGATTTAATTATGTGTGAGTAGTTCTCTTTCTAGGGTTTGTGGGGATCCATAAATAATATGAAGGGGTATTTTATTGTTGTTGATTATCAATGCTTGATTAATTTCCTATTGATTGATTTAATGCTATGCAACTAGATTTGTGCAGATTTTTTATGTATGAGTTTAGCAATATTAATTCGAGATTCGAGAGATGAGAATTGATGTTTAGGCTTAGTTTCAATAGGCGTGTTAATTTATAAATGATTAAGTCGAGATTCGAGAGATGATATTTAATATCGGTAGATTAATTATGTGATTGTAATACGTAGAAAGCCCTTTATGATCTGGTTTATTGATGCATTGATGATCGATTTTCATGTTTTACCCTAGATATTATTTATTGGTGAACCTATGCCCTAAGTCCTTTATTCATTGATTTTTCTTTACCCTTAATCTTCATAGTTTAGTTTCCCTTCGATAATAATAATTTGTTACTTAATAATTTAGATTGCTTTAATTAATCAGGAATAGAAAGAACAATTTTCCTGTGGATTCGACCCTACTTCCCTATCTGCATTAGTTAGAGGATTTAGGAATTACTTTTGATTAGGTTATACGACTTAAGCCAGTCAAGTATTCATAAAATTAATCGCCAAAGTCAGTTGGTATTACAAAAATTAAGGCCTAAAACTCTAAAATGACCAAAGCTTTCGCGAACTTGTGAGCTATTCTACTTGACTTGAAACTTTTACAAGAATGAGTCAAGACATAATCAAGCACGATTTTAAAGTTTATGAGTCGAGCACTTTTGACCCTCGATCAACTCACTCAATTAGTACCCATGTTAAATATCAAATATGAATCACGTTAACATTAAACAACAATTTCAAAAGAAAAATAATGTTATCATATATGCTATATTTTTTTTGAAGACATCATATACACTATATAGTCCTAACATGCATAACCAAATACCAAGCTAACCTTGGTCTAGTGATAAGATTGTCACCTTCTAATCTTGAGGTTGAGGACTAGTGACACTTTGAGAGTGAGAATCCTTTACCCTTCCCCCTCACTCTCACCCCGCAAATATTGGAGAAAAAAAACCGTAAGAATTGAGGTCAATTAATATGAACATACTTGATGTAGTAATCGATAAACCCGCTCCCAACTCAACATGACCAAATGACCATTAGCAAGTGTAGCAAACTAGCAACGCCTAAATCAAAGAACTTGATATTCCAATACAAAATTCATCTTTCAAAAATCTCTTCTTCGCAAAACCCTTACACTTCTTCTCCCGCTCTCTCTCTCCTCCATTCTTTCCTCCTCCCAAATGTTCGATCCCAGAAAACTCTCAACCAAATCTCACCCCCAAATTCCATCATTCTAAAACCCTAATTTCCAATAATTTCCGATTTTGCAAGCATCAATCATGCCGTCATTCCTCTCCGACGACGAATTCGAGCGATTCAAAGCCTCCGGCGACGCTTCTGCGGTGGCGGAGAAGGCGGATTCCTACATTCGCGACCTCTACGCCAACCTCGAGACCGTCAAAGCCGAAGCCGATGCCGCCTCCATTACTGCCGAGCAGACTTGCTCGCTCCTTGAGCACAAATACCTTTCACTGTCGTCCGAGTTCTCTGCACTCGAAACTCGCTATTCGGAGCTTGATTCTAATTTGCTGCAACGAGTTTCGGAGCTTGCTCAAGTTCAGTCTAATAAACATCAGCTTCATCTTAAATTCGTAAGTTAAACACACCTTTTTTTTTGTTCTTGTTGTTGTAATTAGTTGTAATTTATTGTGTGATATTTGGATTTAATGTTGTTTCTGAATTTATTGCTATTATTATGCGATTTTGTGTTGATTTTTTCGCTAATTAGGGTTTGGATTATGGTTACAGCTGAGAGAAATTGAAGTTGGATTTCTTTTTAGTAATTTTAGTATTGATAATCGTGGAAAATAGCAAGCATGTTTAGTAAAAATGTAGACATAAATAAGGGTTAGTTAGTAGAGGCAGCTGAAATTCGAAGGCGATTCATTTTGATTCGATAGCATACTAGATAACTCGGTATATCGATGATGTAGGAAGTGAGTCGATTTTCTTAAATTTTGCAAGTACTTCGTATGGTTTATACTTGTTCTACTATGTATATTGTTTATGCTCTTCTTGATCATGTGATTGCATAGAACTCAATTTCCAATTTCCTCCTTTGACATGGGTATATGTAAGTATATACATTTTGTATTTCGCTAAGTGTAATTTGAAATGAAGTAATGGGAGAGTTGGTTAAATGGCAATGCAAAAATTGTGCTGTTGCCATTGCTGCTGATTTAGGACATTTCTGATTTCGCTTGATTGTTTCTTGTCTTAGATCGAAAAAGATGGAGAGATTGAAAGGCTATCAATAGAGGTGAAGGAGCTGCAAAATTCAAAGAGGCAAGTAGTGGAATTAGTAGGAGTGAGGGATGAAGAGATCAGTGAGAAAAAGGCTACTATCAAGAGTTATCATGACAAGATTACAAGCTTGACAGAACGTTCTTCCCAGAGGGAAGCTAAGTTGAGTGAGCTTGAGGCAGAGTTGATGCGCTGTAAGGCTAACTGTGACAAACTATCGCGAGAGAAGGAGCTTATTGAAAAGCACAACACTTGGCTTAATGAGGAATTGACAGCAAAAGTTGATAGTTTGCTGGAGCAGCGTAGGAAATGTGCAGACATGGAGGCAGATTATTCGATGAAATTAGCTGATATGGAAAAGCAGTACAACGAATGCTCTAGTTCTTTGAGTAGGCATAAGGAGATGGTCAGAGAGCTTGAATCAAAGGTAGAAAATTTGCATCGAGAATTATGTTCAGCCCGAGATGATGCTTCTGCTTCCGAGCAACAATATGCAGCAGAAATTTCAACAGTTTCCAAACTTGCTGATCTGTACAAGGAAAGTTCTGGAGTGGTCCAAAAAGGCTGGAGAGTTGGAGGGTGTGATAAAGGCTTTGAAACACATTTAAGTCAAGTTGAAAGTGATTACAAAGACAAGCTTGAGAAGGAAACTGCTGCTAGGAAGGAGGTGGAAAAGGTGTCTGCAGAGTTGAAGGAGAAACTTGAAAAATGTGAAGCCGAACTTGAATCAAGTAGAAGAGAGAACGAGCTGGATAATCTCCCTTTGAGTAGCTTTACCACCGAACGGTTGACATATCCTTCCAACACAAATGATTTTACTGGAGATAATCTAGCAATTGTACCTCATGTCCCAGCAGGTATCACTCAATCATGTTGTTTATTCTATATTGAGATGAATTTTCCATTTGGTACCATCAGCAGCTGAATTGGTCTTAAGTCATTATATGTGACTCTTTTTTGTTTGCATATGAACTTCATCAATATATTCTTGTTTGATCTTGGCTATGTTTGGCAACATTTTTCGCCACCTTAAATGATAAGGTGATGAAAACTTAAGGCATCTTAAATGATTAAAATTTGGCAAGCACCTTAAGTAAATATTAAGGTGATAAAATGGACTTAGGGCATGTTCGGCATTAGCTTTTGAGTAGCTTTTAGTGGTTTGACCAATTCAAACCACTACTTAACAAAAAATGTGAGTGTTTGACAAAGGTAGTGGTTAGGGTAGCTTTTAGTGGTGGAGGTAGCTTTTATGAAAAGTTATAATGATTAGCTTTTGAAATTAGAGATAGCTGTTGAAAATTTAATCTATAGTTTTAAAAATAAAATATTAATTTTTATATGTAACAACTAGTCAACCGCTACTTTACCGAACACTTATATCTAAATTATTTATCTTCACAGCTAACAGCGTTGACAGCTAACAACTACCTACACCCTATATTTTGCCGAACACGCCCTTAAATTGAGATGTTACCTTGAGTACCATCTCAAAAAAAAAAAAAAATAAGGGAAAAATAGGTGCTGAAATGTTCTTAAATTCGAAAAAATATCTTTAGAAAGTTTAAGCTACGATAAAAACTGATGTAATTAACTATCTTATCACTTTCACTTAGCTTATTTGTTTCAAGTCTCTTTTCAGGTATTTTTCAGACATAGCCTAAACTTATTTAACATACTGAACTATTTTGTACATGACTTTAGTTGGAATTAGTCAAAGTTAGTCAAGCACGACGGGGCTTATTGGTTTTCATGAATACTACAAGAATGACTGGTCTTAATTGCAAAAGATCATCACCATGAGTCGCTCACATAGACCTGATGGCATCTTCATTTGTCCCTCATGTGACTCTTCCATTTCTGTCTACTGAGATGTGATCTTGGACACCAATAATTTCATGTCATTTGCTCCCCTTGGCCCTTCCATCTTGGTCATCCTTGGTTTCTACTAATATTTCCATTCTCCCAACACTATTATTGGGCTGACATCCCATGATTCCCATCTCCTGATGTTGGCATAGTTATGCCCTAGCCACCTCAATCAATTCTTCACCTTATCATCGACGTTTCATTTTGACTCTTGTGAGAATCTGTCATTGCAGACTCTCTCTCTTGTCTTAACCATAAATATGCCTCAACATGCATAGCGTAGTGTACTAGTGTTGCATCATTCAACCATCAACTATCTTTTTTATTTTTTGTTAAAACTTAAAAGTGAGGAGTATAGAAGA